CCCATCGGGAATTGGCTTTGGCTCCCGACTGATATGAATTCAGCAGGTCGAAAATGTCATGATTTTAGACAAATTTCCACAATCCCTCTTTACAGTCCCCTAACAGACCAGAATACGCACGGAATGATATTTCTTTGATAATGTAAGATGATATTTATAACGATGTTCAAGAAATTTCCTAAAGCCTCTCTCAGGTGTGAAAAAATCGAAGGAATTGTCCGACGTAGAAAATTCTCTGGGAACGTCACAACGAAGTATAAAAAATAGGCAAAAGCAAAACAATTAGCCTTTTGATCACAGGTGTATGTACTGTCCACTGTATTTTTTTGTGAATTTTGTTACACACAGATGGCTCCGTAAATGCTCAGCGAATAATGTCTTACGTAACTTAACCTTATTTTCCCATTTCTTGATTTTTTCATGGTACAGTGCTTTCTTACTGTTATATTCTCTATTGGCATGAGTTCACAATTTGACAGTCTTAATGGATATAAGTAGTGTCAAATTTTGTGCTGAAAAATATACTCCTTGGTGACTGAGCATTTGTGGAGCCATTTATGTTTAAAAATCTAGAGTGACCATTAAATATTCCCGGCGACAATGGAGTAAAATGTTATTGTATCATATTGAGTGACACCGATGACTATGGAATATTCATTCTTAGGAAATAAATAAAACCTGGCAACTCACCACGGACTCAGGAGTACTCTGGTTCGCCAAGATTTCTTCTTCTTCTAAACAGTTGACACATGATACTTATGTTTGCATGTGTTTCCTATATTTATGACATATGCAATATATTTGTAGTGCTTTACACCAATATTTTTTTTTTCCGAAAAGAGTAATAAAGAATAAGTTGCCTGTTATTACTTACCTGAGATTGGATGGAGTACAGTTGCCTTCAGGAAGGTTATCCCGCAGAGAAGTACGATTTCAGGCCGCCTGTTCCCATGACGCCAAGGAGCAGGGTGTCCACTACATGAAGTCATGATCTTGAAATTTTACCAGCTCGAAAACTTGAAAGAAAATAGAACAAGTAGAACATTTGTTTTTGCATTCAGTGTCAATAAACGAGAGAGAGGGGGGGTGGGGTTTGTCAACTCGAAGGGAAGTGGGTTGCTTGTTCTCTTAAAATCAGACGAGAACAGGACGTGGAGACTCGCAGTCGCAAAGTTGCAGGACCTTAAGTTTGACTAAAATTGTATTATGAGAAAACGAACGCCCTAGTTACTTATATAGAAAAAAAAAACGCGATTAATACGCACAGTAGATACTCACAGAAGTAGGAGACTCTACACTATAGTTGTGTAGAGTTGTTGACTTTGTAGCCTGTAGTTATTTATCAAAATGATTGAGTGTACCTTGCAAAATACTCGTTTTCTTTTACTTACGGCAGTCAAAACATTCTTTGAATTCGAAAGTATTTGTAATGAGTATAAGAATTATTGAATTTCACAATGAAATTACCTGTTTTTACCATGAAAGATTGCATTTGATCTTTAAAGAATTTGGAAGTTTAGCTTGAAAGTTTTTCTTTAGACCGCCGGACACAATACCCGGGAGAAGGCGTGGCTCCGTTGTTTCCCTGTGTTTATGTTTTAAAGAGAATAAAACTATTCTTTCCTATTGGCCTTTGTTCTACATCTAAATCTACACTAATCCAGCTGTATGCAACGCTGCTTCTGCAATACTACCCTGTTCCAAACTTACATAGTCTTACTCTTGCCTGTTCCTCTTCGATTACCTTACCTTAGTTTTTTAACCGATTTTCTACTGGTATTTTCCCGTTCTCCCACAAGTATACCTTCTTTCATTTTTTCATCCCTTTCTCTGCTTTATGTGTCCATTTATATAATGTTATAAAAAATTTTTTTCAAGTAATTTTAACCCCATTTCAAACTCCTTGTACATAAGTAAATATTTGAAATATAGTCCATTGTGGGTCAATCAAGAGAATGATTTTCAGCATTGTGGATAAAACTTTGGAGTAGTTAGTTTGGATAGTGCTGTGGCAGGTTGGCTCTGTGTTTGCCAATTGTATGGGGGATTTGTATACTGATATTGTCCGAGAGACTGCTTAATAAATTCATAATATGGATACTCTTGTTTTGCCTTTTTAGTCAACCGAAGACGTTTATTTACTCCCTTTTTTGTGGCAACAGGATCATTAAATTGCCTGAGAGTTATCCTTCCTTATGCACCTTGTAGTGATTAACACCTATGAAAATAAGTGTATATAAGCATATGGGTTAACAGGCACTATGCACTCATAACCCTTTAGGATATTCTAATATCAATCCTAATTTATAGGATATTTTCCAAGAATGATCTGTCCAAGACACTACGCGTAATAATATCTATCAGTGTGATTCCTCCGTGTTAAATTACCCAGATCGACTTCCATAAAATCGATCACAAAAGGCATTCCTACACAAATATCTGAGTTCAACACCGTCGTTTGATTTCAAGCACGCAGAGATTTGAACTGGGGAACATGAATGGTCTGGTTGTTAACCGTCTTGGACATTTAGGAACTACCTTCACTCCGTGTCGTGGATTAGCACATTGGGGGAGACGTACAGCCTATCATTGGTCGTTGCAGGCCGCTGGAAGTTGATTTTCTCAATTTTTTTCAGAATTTCGCCAAGGCCACACATATTGGTCGTCTGTCCATGATGGAGGGTACTAGTCCACAGGTTTTGACTACCCTACTGGTATATAGGGAATGAAGTGACTTTCCATCGAGAACGCCTGTGCAGAAGGGATATCGCTGATGGCTAGCACATGACGCTGTTGAGGTTTGAGTCCCGTGCTGGCCCATAGTCAAAAGTTTAACTTACACTGTGATCGCAACCATAGCTGTGGGTGCTTGTTGAGTATTGGGATGTACCGCCTTGTCACCTGGCTTGGAAGGCATTCACCGAAACATACTGCGTGGGAGGGCATGCTGAACGATAGTGAGGTGGCTCTGCAAGACGTCAGTTTCGCATTTCAAGGCCTTCAATTGCAATTGCCATTGTGCAAGTACCTGAGCCTTCATATTGGCTATAACTATCTGGAACGCCTCCTGCAGTGAGCCCTGGATCCCAAGACATGCCCTTCCTCAGCCCATCCTGCCCACAGCAGCAATGATAATATTAACAACAATAGTAACAAATATAGTGATGGTGATTGTAATGATATTAATAAAGATTAAGATATGGTCAATAATGATGATAATGATAATAATAGTAATAGAAATAAAATGCTAATAAGGATGATGATAATGATAGTGATGATTATATAAATTATGGTAATAATAATGAAAATGATAGAAATTATAGTAATAATAGTAATGATAATTATCAAAATAATCATTATGATAATAAAATGATAATAGTAATCATCAATATCATTATCAAAATGTCATATTATAGTAATCATTGTAAACAATAGTAATAATAGCAATGATATTGATAACAATGTGAATAATAATGATTATGATAATAATGATTACTACAATAGCATTGATAACACTGATAATGAAAATGATACCAATAATGGTTATAAAAAGAGTGATTATGATATGGTCAAATGATTATGGTATGTTAATGACTAACAATGATAACAATATGATAATGATAGTGATGATTATGCTAGTAAGAATGATATTGATAATTATAATATTAATATAAAGATTCTGATTCTGATAATAATGTTAGTAATACTAACATTGATAATAATGATAATATAAAAAATAATGATAGTAATACATATACAAACAACAACAATAATGATAATTACAATAATAATGATAATGTTAATTTTGATGATAGCAATAATGATGAAGAGGATGATAATGATGATACTAATAATGGTAATCATAGTTATTGTTCTTTATTATGTTATCATAGCAGTGGTTATAATAGTGATAGTGGAATCAATGGTAATGATACTGATAGTAATGATAATGATAATAGTAATAGTAGTGGTAGTAATGATAATAATAACAATAATGATAATGATGATAACAATAATAGTAATGATAAAATAGTAGGTATAATAATTGTGATAATAATGAAGATGGTAATTACGGTGGCAATAATGACAATACAATAATGATGATGCAATAGTAATAATGGTAATGATAACAGTAATATAAAAATAATGATTATGATAATAATAATGATGATGATATTGAAAAGAATAGTGATAATGCTGATAATAGTGTTGATGATACTAGTAATGATAATGTTATAGTGATTATAATAATGATAATTATAACAACAATGATAATAATGATAATCATAATAACAATATAATAATAATGATGATATGCAATAGTAATAATAACAATGGCAATAATGATAACGATTATAATGGTAATAATAGTGATAATGACAGCGAGAAGAACAATGATATTAATAAAAATAGTAATAATGAAAATAACGATAATGATAATGATAACAATAATGATGGTGATAGTGAACATGATAACAATTATACTTATGACAACAAAATTTAGATAATGAAAACGATTATTATATTGATGATGACAGCAGTGAAGGTAATAATGGTAATAACAGTGATATCAATCATAATTACATACTTAGAAACCGCATTAAGTCATTAATAGGAAATATTATTCTCAAAACAATTACAAAAGTAAATTAGAGCCTATACCAAACAAGTAAAAAAAAGTTGGCATTATTCACTTCATACTACGACATCCCTCCGAAGAATTACTAATATTTGATAAGGACTAACGATATATAATAGTTGATAAAATGTGATAGATAATGAATAATAGCTAGTAATCAATAATGATCAATGATAATGATTATGATTACAATTATGCAGTCGAAGATAAAGAATAACGGTAATAGGAATTGATGAGTGATAATGATAATAATATAAACAGTTAAAAATATTTAACAAGAAGAATAAGTAATGATTGATGATAATAATAACAGTAAGTAATGGATAAAAATATCTTGACAGAACCATCGGCTCAGCTCGCACTCAGCTGAGAAAAGGAACCAAAACATTGCACAACTTTTGACGAGAGGTGTATATACAAGGTGAAACTCGGCTGGTTTGTGGGTCTTCAGACTGGGAGGAAGCAAGCTGTAACCTCCAGAACAACTGCTACTCACTCAGGAGACCGAAAGGAGTGTCAAAATGGGTGTACCTAAATTTTTTAAGTGGATCAGCGAGCGGTACCCATCGCTGAGCGAGGTCGTCAAGGACTATCAGGTTGTTTATTTTTTCATTTTTCTCTTCTGGGTTTGAGTCAGATTTGGCTATAAATTTCTATATATGTTAAACCTTCTTTTCTCTGTATTGTTATTGTGGTTCTGAAGTTTTTATGTTGTTGTGGAGTGTGCATGTATGTTGTTTGTGAGTGAATTACAGGTTGTTGGCGGTTTTGAGAATCATGTATATATTTATAGATATACCTGTTATTTTGGGGTAGGAGTTGCATGTTCCTACTATGTTGGTACTGCCAGAATGCTAATTTGTTAGGAGTTCAGCCAGTGATGATTAACCAATTGCATAATAGCATCATTATTGGCTGTGGTAGGTAGGGAGCATCCAGACTGAAAACCTTCTTACGTGCACAGGCAAGTTATTTTCAAAAGCCATAGCTTGCGCAGTTAGATTTGCAGTTTGTTCAAAAATTTGCGGTTAGTTGTTGCATAACTATTGTTTTTCAATAATTAATATTAGTGATGGATGATACATTATTTACACATTGATTCTATGGTATTGAAATAGGTTGTCATTGATGGCACAACCTGATATGGTTTAGTTCAATTCTTGAAATGGGTAGAGGTTACAGACACGGACGCGCGTAGATAGAGGGAAATGGACACTGCCATCTTATAGAGCGGGAAAAATAGAAGGGGATAGCCTATAGTTTAAGATGCGCTGGCCTTATAGTCACCGCTAAATGACGAAAATATAACGCGTGGCCGCCTTTCAAATTCAAAGTGGATGAGCTTGTTTACCTTGTGAGGAAAAACACGACACTGACCCACAAACGCATATTTGTGTTCGCGAACTAGTCCGTGTATCATTACGCGCTTGCCAAAACGATATTTGGCTAATTATCTGTGTCTGCTGGTAAGCATTTATACCTTTAAAGTCTTTTAGTAATGTTATTATACTTCTTCTGCATATTTTTATATTTATCTATACCCTCATATCGAATCCTGCGCATCGAGTGTTTCACACTTTCTTGCGCCAGCCACAGGTTGACAGCTCACCATACTGCTCATTTCGAGATTGAAATCCGGTGAGAAATGTTGCGTTTCCAGTGTTGTGTTGATTCTGGGTTCTTTTTAAGACCTTTACAGTGGCATCGAAGAACAATTAGACTTCAGTAACCATCCCAGTTTTATATATGAGCCCATCAAGAGCTCCAAAGAACGAAAAAGGTGATTGATTAAAATCGAAGTAATCCCAACAGTACAAAGAAACGAAAGTTTCACGTTTCCGGATATAAAGGTATTTGGCTTATTATTTTACGGTGTGAATACAGCTCTGTCTTGCCGTACATACCGTGGTGGAGAGAATGTGTCCTGAGGGGTGTTGGGGGGCTTGCCCCCCATCAACCCTCCCCTCGGGCAGTGCCCGAAGGGCACGCCTAGTCATGGCAATTTATATTGATATATTAGGTTGGTTTATTGGTCAATATGTTTTTGGGGGTTGGAACGTGTGAATTCCCGTAGAGTTTTACTGAAATGTGGGTTGGGTTCCTGTAGATTTTTTTTTATTTATTTCGCGTCAGTCCGTAAACTTTCAAAGATGGCGGTTACATCCGTAGAGTTTCATTGGCCGATTTTATGCGCTTTTTGTGCTAGTTTTACACATTTTTGATTGTTATTCTTCTTATTTAAGCTTGTTTTACCCCATAAATACTTCATACCCTCCCCTGCTAACGGGACTATCAAATCAAGATCGTCAATGGAGAAATGGTACTCGATCTCCTGAACGGTTCATTCGCAAAAGAAACAACGCCGAAAATCGATGAAATCATAGGATTTCATGCAGAAAAACATCATTTTTTTCGACTTAGTCTCTGAGAGGGTGCGTTGCTCTCTGTAACAATTACCCTTAAAATGATTTATGATTGGGTCAATCCATGCTGAGTGGTAAACAGGCACTTTGACAATTTTAAGTTGCCAAAAAATAAGAAAGGGATACCTGTGTGGTGAAAAGCGCACATCCAGCATGAGCACGAGTGTTGCGATGGCTGGTCACAGGGCACTGCAGAGCAAGGTCTAGCCCTTGCTTCAGAGGGTAGCACTTCATGTTCATGCAATAGTTTCAAGCTAGCCTCATCGTCTTCAAAATAATTTTTTATAACTTGGAATGGTTTGATATGACATTCTACACACACGAAAGTCATGGCAAGACTAATTTGAAAATTGAATTTCATAGCTTCTATTTTAGCTAATGTTCATCCATTGGCTGTTTCCCTCATGAATTCTTAAATTAAATTAACCGCGAAACAATTGACCAGTGAAATTGTGACACTGGCCTTCACAGTCAAGATAGCAGGAACATCACGGGTATGAGAGACAGAACCAGTGGAGAATTTGGTCAGTATTCCCTCAGCTCCCGTGGGAATCTCACCTTGTTTTATTATTATTTTTATTTATTTTGATAATTAAATAACTTTGTTATTATTAATTTGCGAGACAAGTTTATTTAATGAAAAGTGATTGATAATTAAAAATCTTCAAGGCTATAAGGTTAGTTCTGGTTGATTCAGTTGTGACGTCTTTTTCCAATAATAATGTTTTAAGATCACTAGTTCTGGTATCAGAGCATTCATCTTGATGCCAAGGTTACAATTTATGTAGTTTCAGTTGGTGCTAGGCAATAAGAACAATGGCAATGAGGGTACAGTTCCTCCTTGGGAAATAGATAATTTAGATTATGCAACATTTGTGTATTTGGTAATTTTACGGATGCAACGATTTTGGTATTGATGGATTCCTCTTCAATATCCAAATTTATAGAAATTGTATCACATATCCCTCTATCTCCGATAACTAGGGATAGCATGAAATGGGTATGGGTAATTCTTTACAGTATGGATGCATTCACCACAACTCCACGTCAAAAAATTTATTTTGCAAATGATCTAATTTGCTGCAACAGGGCGTGCACTTTAGGCACTGCCCAAGGGGAGGGGTAATTGGAGGCTCTTCACCCCAACACCCCCTGGGAAACATTGTCTTCACCTTGGGTGTACATGTCAAGTTTTAGCTGAAACTCGGGAACACCGGGTGGACTTCCACTGAGGGCGGTACTTTCTGAGACCTTTTGTGGCGTTACAATATGTATCTGACAGTATCTCTTGTACCGACTACTACAATGTTTTGTTATGTACAAGAATATCATATTCAAATTGCCTTAAGTTAATGTGTCCATACCGTAAAAATTAACCATGAAATGTACCATGGAAATAGGGGGATGAAATATGAATGATATACACAGAATCAATCACTATATCGTCTAGTGCAGGGGGCTCATCCCCTTTGTCATCCCTCTTGGGTAACTGATGCCTCCAAACCCCAGCAAGGGAATACAAAGAATCCTCCATGTATTCATGGCAGGGAAGAGGGTACGACCAACATGCAAGAGCACCTTTTGTGCAGAGAGTCTATCTGACACTATCTTGCCATGAATATGTGGAGGATTCTTTAATTTCATGGGTGGGGGTTAGGGGGAGCAGGAGGCACAGCTTTCTGCATTAGACCATATAGTGACATTCTCTGTTTATTAGTTATATTTTACCCTGCAGTTTCTCCGGTACATATCATACTCTCCCCTGCTTTTGGGGCAATGAATGTGGGCGTTTGGAGGGGTTTTCATATATTTAGATAACAGAGAGTGAGAAGAATCCATCGATACGAAAACAATCATTAATGGTTAACCCACTTGTGCTTGGTGTCACACATAAGTGATGCTTGGAAATAAGGACCATAGCCAGCTGTTCCACTGGTGTAATGCTAGATCAGAGATTGCACTCTGATTTTGTCACCTGAGGTGGGTGGTACATAGGCAGGGCCCTGGACTGGCCCATGCACTGATTTTGATACCGCCCAGAAATGGGAATAATCACCCTCCAAATGGACCATCGTGGGTAGCTTAGGCAAAGGTATTAACCCATTCACGCCGGTGTATTTTGAAGCCAAAAATAAAATATTCCGGGCGGCTACGAAATCGGCGGGCGGAGCTTCCCCAGAGTCTGTCCACCTGCCGGCCGGGGCCTGTTGCGGCGTCGGAGCACGAGCCCTGACAGTGTCACACGGGCAATGTTTGTTTTATTGGGTGTCTCATATATGGGACACCTATCGCAAATGGGTTAAATAAAATTTCCATGCATTTTTGTCTACGCTGTCTAAAGCTCCTGATTTAGGTTTGTTAATTGCCCTTATTTTCTGTCTAAAATTAAAAATCTGCACTTTATCAAGATAGCTCAATAGAGTGATATACTTGGTGAGAAATGTCTCAAACTATTGTTGCCATTTTCAGTTCTTCATGCTGTGCTTATTTGTTGGTTGCTGTGACTTATTACTATTATGCTTTTTAGAGCTTGGTAGGAATCCATCAATACCGAATTCACAGGGTTTTGATATAGATACCTATTCTAGAAATTTACCTAAATTTGTCCAGAAAGTAGACAGTCTCTCGTATTGATAAAAAGGATTTCTTACTAACCATGTAGAATAAATTATAAATGGACTTTGGATATTAATGAGTATTCAGAATACCATCACATGACTGATCATGACAATATTGGTATAGATGGATTCCTCACATGCTCAAGGAGATAACAAAGAATTGCAGGCTCCTGTATATTAATCATAAGCTCAATCTGCCATGAATATTTGGAGGATTCTTTGTCTTTTATTACTGGAAGTGGGGGACTGCAGCCCACTGCAACCAGAGTGACTTATTACTATAAGGACATATTTGATGTAAATTACTCATATTTTTTTAC